ATTAAATTTGCAAACTATTGAGGAGAAACTGCTAAATGTGTTATCAAAGAAATCCTTAAAGGTGGTAATACCCCTGCCCTCCCAACGTATATATATGGAGTCCAGGGTGGCAGGTTTAAATAAATGATTTTTGCATATTGGACTCAAGACAGACACCTCAGCGAAGTGAAACATTCTACGAAACTGGGTCCAGATCTTTAGAGTAGACACTACTAATGTATTGGAGGAGAAATGAGAAGGGAATTCCATGATGCACCATGCAGCCTCTGGGTATTTAAACCAAAAGGCCATTTTTTGTATGTTGACGGTGAAATAGTAATACATAAAATTAGGGAGGGCCAAGCCACCAAAAGAATGGGGACACTGAAGAATTACCTTCCTGATACGGGGGACACAACCACCCCAAATAAACCCAGTGACAGCCTTATCTATAGAAACAAAGAAGGATTTGAGGAGAAAATTTAGGAAGGACATTCATCTTAATGCACTTCACCCTACCTGCTAGAGAGAGGGGAAGTTTACTCCACCTCTGGAAGTCACTGCACATTTTAGTAAGTAGAGGGGAGAAATTAGCATCCTGAATGAGTGATATTTTGCGAGTAATATTAACGCCTAGATATTTAAATCCATCAGGCACAAGCCTAAAGGGGAATTGGAATTAATAACTGGAATGTCAGAAAGGGGTGAGTTACATATATCAAGAGATCGTCTGCATAGAGGGAGACCCTATTTTCAATTCCATACCAAGTGACTCCTTGTATACCAGGAGCAGTTTTAAGAGCAACTGAAAGAGGTTCTATGGCCATAGCAAAAAGTAAAGGCGATAAGGAGCATCCCTGGCATGTAGATCTATGTAAAGAAAAATAATCAGAATATACAGAGATTGTATGGACACGAGCTAATGGTGCAGTGTAGAGCAACTTAATCCAGGAAATCAATGTATTTCTGAACCCAAATTTATTAAGAACTAAAAATAAATAGTCCCATTCTATGCGGTCGAAGGCCTTCTCTTCATCTAGCGAAACAACAGCTTCTGGAATCTGCAATTTATCAGACGTATATAATATATTTAAAAGTCTATGGATGTTAGAGAATAAATGCCTACCTTTGATAAATCCTGTTTGGTCCTCTGATATAATAGATGGGAGGACAGTCTCAATGCGTTTGGCCAGAATCTTAGCCAGGATTTTGTGCTCATTACAAAGCAAACTGATGGGCCAATATGAGCTGCAAAATGTGGGATCTTTATCCTTCTTAACAATAAGTGAGATATTAGCCTGTGTCAGAGAAGGGGGCAAAGAACCCCTTCTCAGGGACTCGTTAAATACCTCCAGCAAAAGAGGTGACAGTTGGTTGTCAAATTTCTTTCCATCTGGTCCTGGGGATTTACCGCTACTTAAGGATCCAATAGCTTCAGAAATGTCCTTTAAGGTAAACGGGCGATCCAACTCTTCAGCCATTATAGGGTCTAAACCCAGGAGTGCTAATTTATCTATAAATAAGTGCACAGCAGTAGTGTTAACCGGGCCGTCCGAAGTATATAATGAAGAGTAGTAATTTTTAAAAACATTGTTAATGTCTTTAGGATGAGTCAATAAATTCCCATGAGTGTCCCTAATTTGGTGTATTAGTCTAGACGCAGCCTGTCTCCTTTACTGATGTGCTAGTAGTCGCCCGCTTTTATCCCCATACTCAAGAAAACCTTGAGAACATAAAATAAAGGCTTCGGCATATTTTGTGGAAAGCAAATTGAATTCTGCTTGTAGGTCAAGCTGCTTTTTGATCAATTCTGAAGTGGGACAGGAAGAAATCTGACCATCTAAAGATAGTATGGAACTGGAAATCTCGTCCAACTTTTTCTTGTTGGTGTTCTTAATATAAGAGGTGTATGAGATCATTTCACCACGAATAATGGATTTGAGTGACTCCCATAACACTGAATAAGAAACAGAATCAGTTTTGTTAAAGTGTAAGAAAAAACGAATGGAATCTGAGATCTTTGTACAGAAATTCTCCTCTGAAAGTAGTGTTGGATTAAATTTGCCACTAAGGGCGATCTCTCTAATGACTGAAGGTAAGATCCACCTGCAGCGGTGCATGGTCTGAAATAACTATCGCCAAGGAAGAATGTACTTGAGAATAAAAAGAAGATGATCTTGAATGAGGGTAAAGTTCACGCCATGGATCGACACAGCCGTTTTCATCAATAAAGAAAGACAACAATGATGCCATTTTTGAAGCTACTGTTGATGTCAGTTTGACCGATCTAGTGTGGGATTCCTAACACTATTAATGTCATCTCCGAGAATTAATTTGTGTGAATTTAGATCAGGAATGATGGACAGCAACCTATCCATAAAATCAACATCATCCCAATTTGGTGCATATATATTAATTAATACCACCTGAGTTTGGAAAAGTGAACCTACTACAATAATATATCTACTATACTGGTCAGATGTGATATTGGAAGGTGTAAAGTGTATTCTTTTATTAATCAATATTGCTACTCCCCTAGATCTACTATTATAGTTAGAGTGAAATACTTGGCTAATCCAGGGTTTACGGAGTTTGGTATGCTCAAGTCTAGAGAGATGGGTTTCTTGAAGAAATATTTTATCAGCATTCAGGGACCTAATATGATTAAAAAACCTTTATAACTTTAATTCGAGACTGTAGACCCCTGACATTCCAGGAAATAACCGGATTACTTAAGTTGAATTCCATTGTTTAAATGAGAAGATGAAACGGAGAGGAAATGTGATTAAAAAGCATAGGCTTGCAATATAAACAAAGGCAGAAAGCATAGCAACCTCAAGAAGAAAGAGAAAGTGACATTGGGGGAGCGGGGAAGGGGGAGAGTGGGGGCAATAAGGGGAAAAAAAAGAAAAAGAAAAAAAAAAACACACAACAACAACGCACCCCAACCCAATGAGAGAACAACAGCCACCTCAAAACAGTCAAACCCACTTTGAATGTACTTCCAGTGAACACTCCTCAAACAGACTGGCCTAAAACACGTCAAGCACATGTACTTTTTGAATACACCGCCACCCCCGCAGACGCCAACACATATTCCTATACAATGGGAAAGTGTACCCAGTGACAAAAGAAAGTGAGAAAAAAAAACTGAAAAAAAGTAGCCCCTGAGATCCAGTCTTGGTCAAGCATCCACACATACTTACTAACCGCAGAAACTAACTATTTATGTGTGTTAACCTTTGTGTTTGTGCATTTTTTATTTGTCCTTAGGTACTAATTTATCAGAAAGGCCAAGCCTAGTTACTATATGCATAGAACATGCAAGCAAAAAGACAGATAGTGAAAGTAATAACTTCTTACATAACATAAAAGGTTCTATATGTGCACAATCCGTATGAAAATAACAATAATTGAAAAATTAGAGAAATGTACCTTATTCACATGTACACTGCAGCTTGTGCATTAAGAGAACTTTTATCTTAGCTAAATGTAAGTGAACTCTTACTGGTTAACAGATCATGAAAAATGGAAACAAGACTAAGTCACTGGTATTAAGCAGCATAAAGCTACTTTAAATCACAAGACATAAGAGTGGCTCAGCGATTGTAGTGATCTTTCACTCCACCTCTTACCACTGCTATCATCCTTTGACCTCTCTTCTGCTTACCTCATCTGCACTTTGAATAGTCTAGTGATCCACATTTTATAAAGTTTCATTGATGGAAGTTGGACCAGTCAACTGCCATCCTTTAGAAAGACTGACTAAAACCTGCTGGGGTTTGCCATGTTCACCCAGTGACTCTGGTGCTGAGGTTGTTCTTGGGTTAACTTTCTTCGATGACCCGGGACATGTCACCAGCGGCTCTCCTCACAAGCTATGAAGAGGCAGTAAGGCAATCCACTTCTTTCAGTTTTGATGCTGGGATATCTGTATCCCCTTTTCCTTCTAATTCAAATCTAGATCAGGTGTTTCACTAACATCATTTATCCATTTGATGCTGCTCAATTTCCCATGAAATAGCTACCTCCTATTCTCCGCTGACTGCAGTATTTCCTCAAGTGAAAATCAGGTCTCTGGTTTCTCTATCTATATTTATTAATCAAATTTATCACTTAATGTCTTGATTACCTTGTTATTAAGATCCAGCCAATAAATAAGCCTTTACCAAGAGGCTAAATATTTGCTACAAATTTAAGCAAGTACTAATCTAAGTACTTATTGAGGCGCACTGTACTGCAGTTATGCTGTGTCTCAATCCTATATCTTTCTTTTAGGTATCAGCACTGGCTTTTGTGTCTGGCAGTGTCTGAGCTCAAAGGTACTTTGGACACTAACCTATTTGTGCTAGCTAGGATACTTTCTCTGAGTGGACAACAAAGAACTGTTGTAAGTCGATCTGGATAAGAGCATCTGCTAAATGTAAATGAGAGAAGGGATTCTCTCTAATAATTCTCTGCTGGTAGCAGACCTCCCAGCTTCCAAAATAAAAAACTCATCAAATCTACAGGATTCATGTGAATGGCATGTTTATCATTTAAAATGGCGAATTTTGCTGAAACAACAGCATAATTTTAGTTCAATATAAGCTTTGTAATTTATTTTGTCTTGTTCAGAGAATTTCACTGAGAAAAGACTCTTTCTTAACATATGTGACATAAATGTGTGATTAAATGAGTTTATCATGAAAACATGTCTGGTAAAGTGTATCATGGGTGTATATTTGTGTTTTCCCTACACTCCCATCTTTTGACACTGCATTCACACGCCTGAATCAGCTTGCTAATCAGCTGAGTTTCAGTGAGTTTTATGAAGTGTGATCAATGAGGAAAAGCAATATTTGTTGTTTTTTTCCTCTATCAAAATTTTGTCCCACCATTTTTAGGTTGCATGACGAATTTTTACTAGTTGTTAACTCATTCAAAAAAGTATCTGATTAGTTGTCATTTATCATAGTGAAAACACCAACAAGAGTGTTCTGGACTTCAAAGAATCCTGGGGTTAATAGCAGATTTCAGGCTCAGATGTAGACAAGACTGTTACACCCTGCCCCAGGGGGCAGAGTGAACCTGTGTCAAATATACAGTAACTACTGATCTCAAATCAGTTTTTACAACTTAGACTTTTCATCTATACTTCTGTCACTCAATTTATTTTCTTATACAAAAATGATCATTTATCATGATCAAAATGGGATCATATTAAGGGCTACTTGTAAAGGCCATTATATTGTAGACAAATTCAGGTTTGTTTATTTGAAAATCTTGTAGGCTACCCTTAATTTACAATACCTGCAATCAACGTTTTTAGCTTGGGATGCATTAACATATATATGAATAGCTGATGTTCCCTGTGTGTTTCTAGAATCTCAAACAAGTAAATTAGTAGTAAATTATGTTCTTGAAGCAATTAGGTCAATTGGTTTAAAGCTTTAGGAAGCTTTGTTTTTTTCTGCTATCACTAAATCACACATCCAAATTCAATGGGACAAACATGTGTAGCGCAACAGCTACAAATGCAAAAGGAAATATGTGGTTTCACATGGAAATACAAAAGAGCAAGTTTTGCTACATAAAAGGTTGGCGCATGTGAGAACAGTCCACTGGAGTTGACGGAGAGAGGCTAAGAGGGAAAATAAGAAAAAAAAATTACTCTACTCAGGCACCGTCCACAACTAGTCGACAGACACCCACAACACCTAGTAGTGTGTAAGTCAATCCATGTTTTTTTTTTCTTGGTTTTACTGAACAGTTTAGGTCGTCCCTGCTCTAGCACACCTGATCCAACTGATCAGCCAATAATCATGCCCTTCATGAGTTTCTTTATGTGTGCCAGAGCAAGGAATACTTGAAACTGTGCTGGACAGTGGGTTCCCCGGACTAGAGTTAAAAACCCCTTGAACTACTCTGTGCAACCCTTAAAGCATACCCTACATAAGAAGGTGTGAAGTTGTTGTTTTTTTGTTTTTTTTTAAAAAACAAAAAAAAACAAACAAACACACACAAAAAACAGCTGAACAGATAACAGGTAACAGGCCTTTAAAATAATGTTCAGAATTAGGTGTCGAAAATTTTAATATTTACTGAAGGACTCACTGAAACACAGAAAATAAAGAATGTCTGCTACCAGCTTCAAATGTGTTTTATCTAGATCTGCTACAGGACAAATCAGCATTACCTCACAACAAGTACAAAATGTACTTCCTAGTGGAAAACGCTGGTAACGCTGCATGCATACAAGATTTGAGTTACTTAACCAAGATATTGGAAAAAACAGAGCAGTTTCAGTGACCATGTTATTAAATATGAAAATAGTGTTCATCTAAATATTCACAGTAAACAAACTAGATGTCAATTCTATTTTTGTTGATATTAGCAAGCCTCTATGTTGGCCGTTAAATTCTATTTTAAAATCTTCTTCTCACTTTGGTAAGTCACAATCAACAGGACTGTATTTAGTGTAATTAGCATTGACTTATTACCACTTACTTTAGAAGCTACACTATGTACGTTCTGGGAATTTGGAGACCAGATCTCTGGTGGAAATGTGTAATTGCACATAAAAAAATATTTTGAAACGTTGTTTATGCTCCAGGTCCCTTTCCTGAGCGAATCTGATGTTCCAAGCGAGTTGCAAGAGTATTCAAAGAAAACGTCAAAAAAGAGTATTCAAAGAGAACTCAGTCAAAACTTGGTGAGGGACGCGTCTTCCGAGGATGTGAGTGAATCATCTACTACTGCCATCATATCATCATCAGTATAATTTTATTTTTGGATTTGAGACCTAAACATTGAAAACAAATTCAGATTATCCTGTGTCTAAAATTAAATTCTTCCCTATTGTGCAAGCTAATTTTACTGTGTGGGCTGTAGTGAACTGTTAACTGAAAAATCATAAAATGTGGAACACTGTTTGCAGGCTGCCATACAAAGCAGAAGTGGAGGAGCCAAGAAAGGACACTGCAGTTTGAAATTTCAAATGGCAGCTAGATTTTTCTTCAACAACTGCATGTTTATGCAACATTTATTTTTGGTATTCTTTTTACATTACATATCTAAAGATGTCAAAATTTTATGAAGTTACATAGGAATGCTAATTTTACCTTGCTAGTGTATGCTAACTGCTAACTGCTTCAATGACATAAGGCATGGTAAGTTGTCATTTCTGTTTAGTGCAAAACATCAGATTTGACATGATAAAAATATATATATAAAATCCAGACTCTAGAGAGAGAAGTACATAACATATAGTGTAAGAATATAGTGCACAGTTTTCAAACAGAAAATTATCAGCAATTATATGGCTTACCAGAGCAATGACAGTCATGTCACCATGTACATGTTAACTTACCCAAAGGCTGTATTTCCACAGTTGTGTGAGCTGAAATCTCCCCAGAGAGCACTTCACATCTATACAAGCCTTTGTCCTCCATTCGTAGAGTCTTTATTCTGAGTGAGAAGTTTCCTTTGAATATTTCTTCAGGGCCGAAGAACTCGACTCTGTCTCTGAATCTCTCGTGGGTGAAATCTGTCTGGACCTCACCCTCTTGGAAGACCAGCACTGTAATGTCTTGATCCACTTTCTTCCATGAGACATCTTCAAGCTCTTCAGGTGGGATATGGGAGTCTACAGAGCAACTCAGAGTGACGTCTTCTCGTGCATACGCAGATACAGCATGACCTCCAGTCACAATCAAATACTCTGAAAGAAGAAGCAACTGAAATTGATTCAGCTAATTTGACCAAAGACCAGCGTAGATCCTGCATCTTATGTTTGTGATAATCTGTTTAACCCAGTGAAAAAAACAAAAAGACTACTGCAGCTGTCTAAGGACTACTGTGCACCAGACGAGAAGCACAGCGCAGCAGGAAAGTGCAGCTATAGCTCATAGTGTCACAGAAAATCACAGATAAGCAACAAGCTCCAGCTCATTCTACACTCTACTCTTTTTTCATACTCTACTCTGATTTAATGGTATAAAAACTTCAACATAATTTAACACAAAAATATTTTATGGACAAACTCAATTCCAAAATAGCTGGGACAGAATGTGAAGTGCTAATAAAAACAGAAAGCAGTGATTAGTAAATTCTGTTTGATTCGTAACTGAAAACAGTTCAATAAACATTTGATGTTTTCCCTTAAGAACTTAATTGTTTTTCTGTAAATATATGCTCATTTCCAAATATGACGCCAGCAATACATTTAAAAAAAGCTGGGGCAGGCGCATATTTACCATTGTGTTAGATCACCTTTCCTTTTAACAACAATGAATGTAACACTTATACAGTTATATGGGTCTTTAGCTGCTGTACAGGTCCTCCACGTTTTGAATAGGAGACAAGCAGGCCTGCTGTTGTAACACAAGCAGAACGTTTCTTGGTGTTGTCATGTTGAAATAAGCATGGACGTCCCTGAAAAAGACGGTGTACAAAAGGGCAGCATATGTTGCTCCAAAATGTGTTCAGCATTAATCATGCTATCACAAATGTGAACAGTACCCAATAATACCGCACCCCCCCCCCAGTACCATGACAGACCCTGGTTTTCGAACTTCACTCTGGTAATATCTTGCCTTTGTACCGCTTTCATTTTAGTACAGGTCAAAATACACTTACAAAGCTTTCTGTTTTCATTTGCATGTCATATACTGTCCTATCCTTTTTGGAACTTATGTAGTGAATTATTATTATTTTTACATTTTTATTTATTTATTTATTTATTTATTTATAAAACACTGTGAATTTGCACCCATTAGGCTACTTGTGCTGCCAATCTGTCTTCCTCCTAGTACGGCCTCTTCTTAAAACGCTTCTCAATACTCATCTGTTTGGTAAACATTATATACAACCCCAATTCCAAAAAAGTTGGGACACTGGGTAAAATGTAAATAAATGTAAATAAAAACAGAATGCAGTGATCTGCAAATCTCACAGACCAATGTTTTATTCACAATAGAACATAGAAAACATATCAGATGTTGAAAGTGAGACATTTTACCATGTCGTGAAAAACATTAACTCATTTAAAACTTGATGGCAGCAACACATCTCAAAAAGGTTGGGACAGGGCTGCCATTGTGTAGCCTCCCCTCTTCTTTTAACAACAGTCTGTAAACATCTGGGAGGGGTGGAGGAATTGCTAGAGTTCTGGGAGACGAATGTTGTCCCATTCTTGTCTGATGTAGGATTCTAGCTGCTCAACAGTCCTGGGTCTTCCTTGCCAGATTTTTCATTTCATGATGCCCCGAATGTTTTCTACTGGTGAAAGATCTGGACTGCAGGCAGGTCAGTTCAGCTCCCAGACTCTTCCTCTATGAAGCCATGCTATTAGGATGGCTGCAGTATGTGGTTTAGCATTGTCTTGCTGAAATATGCAAGGCCTTCCCTGAAAGAGATGCTGTCTAGATGGCAGCATATGTTGTTCTAAAACCTCTATATACTGTTCAGCACTGATATTGCCTTTCCGGATGTGTAAGCTGCCACGCCATAGGCACTAATGCAACCCTAGACCATCAGAGATGCAGGCTATTGAACTGTGTGCTGATAACAAGCTGGGTGGTCCCTCTCCTCTTGAGTCCGCAGGACACGGCGTCCATGGTTCACACTTTTCCATTTTGCCTCAGTCCATTTTAAATGAGCTTTGGCCCAGAGAAGACGGTGGCGTTTCTGGATCGTGTTGACATATGGCTTCTTCTTTGCATGATATAGCTTTAACTTGCATTTGTGGATTGCACAGCGAACTGTGTTCACAGACCATGATTTCTAGAAGTGTTCCTGAGCTCATGCAGTGATTTTCAGTACAGAATCAAGCCTGTTTGTAATGCGGTGCCGCCTGAGGGCCTGAAGATCATGAGCATCCATTATTGACCACTGGCCTTGTTCTTTGTGTACAGGGATTTCTCCAGATTCTCTGAATCTTTTGATGATATTATGTACTGTAGATGGTGGGATATCCGAAGTGTTTGCAATTTTACGTTGAAGAACATTTTTCTGAAATTGTTCCACAACTTTCAGACACAGTTTTTCGCAGACTTTTTTGAGATGCGTTGCTGCCATTAAGTTCAAAATGAGTTAATGTTTTTCACAACATGGTAAAATGTCTCACTTTCAGCATCTGATATATGTTCTATTTTCTATTGCGAAAAAAAACATGGGTCTATGAGATTTGCAAATAATTGCATTCTGCTTTTATTTACATTTTACACTACATCCCAACATTTTGGAATTGGGGGTGTACATCAGTAATGTAAAGACAACTAGGTACTTTTTCTAAGAAAAAGCTAATTCTAGTCAGGGCAACTTTACTAGTTACATATAGCAGCTAGCTAACATTATGCTAATATGCATTATTAACTGACTCTTCCTGCTCACTTTGTCTTTAGCTCCTTCACTTTCCTGAGCCAAACTGCATTCACAAAGCTGCCAAACTGGTGATGAAGCACAATGTCTTTTATGGAAATGGATTAATAAAAAATGCTAAGTATTAGACTGAGGATTCGAATATCAAATTCGAAATGCCCATCCTCAGCCAAAACCATACCCTGGTTAACTGCGTCTGTGGGTTTTTTTGTGTGGTAATGTAAGTCACTCAAATTCTTGTGTTACAACTTCGCATTCTTTGTATTGAGAAACGTGAAGTGGAGTGGGGACATGGCAGGAATGGAAACAGGAGGGGGCGAAGTCAGGATGTGGAATTCCTGACACATAAGAATTCATTGGAAATTCTTTTTTTTATATTGCTCTCTATGAAAAACTTCTTGTTAATGACTTTACAGTCAAATTCTTTTGCAGATCTCTGTATGTGTGTAAGTCTCACCTACCAATTTCAACTGATGTTTGACCAGTTTCCTGTTCCCTGTAAACGGTACAGTTGTAAACTCCTGCATCGTTAGTGACCAGATCTGTGAGCAGGAGAGAGAAGTTTCCATGTTTGACCTCCTCAGTAAAGAAACTGGCTCTTCCACTGTAAGCCGGATCCTGAGCATCTGGTTTACTCTCTCCCTCTTGGAATAAATGTACTAAAGTTTCAGAGTCTGTTCTCTTCCACTCCACTTCCAGCTCTTCCAGTGGTATGGGGGCTTCAACATAACAGGGCAGCATCACTGAGCCCCCCAGTTCCACAATCAGTGGACCAGAGGGGCCGAGCACATGGAGCCCTGAAAAAAGAGCAAACACAGTGAGATGAGTAATATTTTTTACTTTTTCATTTCTATACACTGCCAGAGAAAAGAGCACTGTCCAGGTAAATTTTAGTCCCTCAGAGTGCAAACAATGTGAATGTACTCTCAGAGGTATGATATGGTCATTAAAGTCCAACTGTTTAAATGTACACTACATTCACATTCCCAGTGCAGAGGGACTCAACATTTTTAAGTAGAAAAATAATATAAAATGCCAAGAATCAGTATGGGATGTATGGAGTCAATGCAACTTAAAAAATATAGGTGCAAAAGAATTTTATGCAATTATGTTCCCTAACTAAAGATAATGAAGTCCTACACCCCAGCGACGGCATTTGCACCCTGAAAGGTACAGTTTTTTTTCTGAGAGTGTATGTAAATGATCATGACTTCCACTGTATGACATTATGTGATGAGCAGTCGACAGTTTGGGTCCTTGTTGTCCGTGTAGGCCTGCATGATGTTTTTTAAGCAAACTCTGCAAGACACTTTCCCGCTCTTCACTTTTCTTTTCTTCAAAAAACACACTTTGAGAGTATAAAACACACGCTTTCATTCAATGCAAAATCTGCATTAACCACTTCTCTTTCTTTACCTTTGTTTTTCCCAATAGATATAAACATGCACAAAACACATCCTTTGCCTTTTAGTGAAAAACATGTCGCTTTCTTTACTTTCATTTTCTTGAAAGGGATAAATAAGCACTTGGATTATAAAACACACCCTCGTCGTCTAGCCTTAATATACACGTCTTTTAGCTATTGAGTCAAAATGTATAGAATGTGACACATTAATGACTGCTTGCATTTTACTTTCAGGTTATAATGGCTGAAAATGCAAGTCTCGCAATTAAACCACTTTAAAATCTTTGTTTTCTCTTCGAATAGTCAACTCGAATGCCATTATATACATAATTACCGTATTACTGTGTCTCAGAAAGAGCATTTAAAGTCATTTTTAGAGGAGAGCAGAAGGCGGAGACGCATAGTGTGCTTCCTCATTTTAGTCTGACTGAATTTTACATTAGACTCAGACTGTTCACTGAAGCAGCTCAACAATAAAAATAATCGAAAATGAACAGTGTTTAAAAATACTGCTTACCGTCACAGATGAACAGAACTCCTGATAGAAAAAGGAAAATTATTAATCCCATCTTCATATCTGACAGGAATACGGTTCTGTGTGAAACAATTTCGCTTTCACTTCACTTCAGACTCTGGCGGTGAGCGGGACAAAGAAGGCGGCTGTCGATCACTTGGAGACTCGAGCAAATCACATAACAGCTACCAAACTCTGACGAGCCAATCACCAACAGGAATACAGCACTAAAGCTGGAGTAGAAACAGTTCTAATAGAGCAGGAATCGCCGTAACTAGGATCAGAATTCCAGTGAGGTCCATTTTGCAGAAATGTGACTCACATCTCACAGTGAATAAAATATTAAAATATGAGTGTTACACCAACTGCCACTCTCCTTTTGTTTCTTTTTTGCTCCCTTTTACCTATCCATAACTGTCATGCACCTTTTCCTTTAATTTCTTCCTTCCCCATCCCCCCATTCTTCTATAAACTGCTATTACTGTTCCATAAACTGATTTGACTCAGTTACCCTGTTTAAGTTTAATTAACCTTTTAACTATTTATTTGTACGTTTATTTTCAGCTGGTAATACACACTGAGACCACATACAGTAAATCAAGTAATAGTTTCAAATTGATTTTATTTCATTTGAACCCACCCCACTCTCTATCTCTCTCTCTCTTTAATTAAACATTAAACATAGGTTATAAAAGGCTGTCTGTACCAAAGCCCAGCTAACGGGAAAGACAGCAACTCATACAGTTAATATGACAAAACACAGTCTAATGTACCCGCTTTTTCCACACTGAATCTCATAAAACCCTTCAGATACTTCTGAGCACCTCGGCGTCCTAACGCTGGTCACGGCGCTGATAACGTACTGAAGTAACTGTGGATAGCAACAATTACTAAGCTGTGATTGGAGGGTTTAGAAAATAACACCAGAGCCGGTTTATGAGGAGCCTGGCCACTTCCTATTCCCCCCGTTCTATCAAAAACAGGAACGTTTCTTTAATTTTAGAAAGTAGAAGGATGTATTTCACTAAAAAAGCAAAGAAATCTCACCTGTATATTTCCTTTTTTCTACAACAAACAGGTTTTGGGCAGCAGGAGGCGGGCTTTAGTGCTAGAGCGTGATGATTGATTGGCGAGCGGAGCAGCTCATTGGCTGTTCACGCTCACTGACGTCATGGGCCAACATGAGGTGCCGTTTTAAACACCTATAACTCGAGTTTAAAAGCTCTTAAAAATAAAACAGCGGTGTTAAAATGTTTTACGCTGTTCTGTGTTCAGGAAATGATCGAATTCTTTTACATGAAAAATGTTTAACCATTTATAAACTATGATTTTGCTCAAATGCCCCGTATCAACCCATTCATTTTGGACTCGCTCGGGAGCGCCCTCTAGCGTTTGAGAAAACCGGAAGACATTGCGGAGTGGTAATTCTCCCACAAGTTCTCTGATAACACAGAGTTTGGCAGATTTTAATTGGCCATACTAAAGTAACAGCGCTCACAGAAAACAAATCAAATTTCATCACCTCAGAAATGCAGCATAATAAATATTCTGTCCCCATTTGATTGATTACGCCTGTGGTAATGTGACTGCGGCCCTGAGCAGACTATATTATCATAATTATGCTGTTTCTACATTTATGATGTGTTCCAATCAGAAGGCAGCTGTCTAAGTTAGGCAGCATTTGCGCGCTCCCGAGACAAAGGCTGTCCACAGCTCCCTTCTAAGGTGCCTTATTTTGACCAAATCTGAAGGCAGAATCGCGTTGTATCCTTCTCAGTGAAGGCGATCGCACAATACTGTTCACCGTCCTAGAGTTCCATCGTTCCGGTGTTATGGTAAATTCAGTTCCCCCTGTTCACCCCTCATTGCGCATGTCGAAATCATGACGTCTTCAGTCGACGCTGCTCTGCGGGGCTTAGATAAGCTTAATTCGTTTGTTTTTGTACCGTTATTTCATCCTGTTCCTCACGGTAAGCGAATTATCACGTTGTTTGTAAAAGGACTTGTAGTTAAACACGTTTTAAAAGTATAAAATGTGTTGTTAGCAGATGTTTTAATGCTCAAACACTACGTGGGTTATCTTGCTAATGCTAGCTTTGGCTCCGTTTTCAACTACTCCAAGTAACAGAAGTGAGATTTATTGCGCCGTTTCTGATTTAATTTCCGTACATGCAGACACATTTTGTTGTTCAGACTTAAGTGATTTTTAAGGTGCATTTATGTCCCATATCCTCATCAGTCTCGCTAAGTTCTGTAGGTTAAATAGATTTGAAACATTTGTTGCTGAAAGAAATATACTGCATTAAGTTACACAGCACAGTAATTAGTCTGTGTTATCATTGTTAGACTACGTATCCCAGTGCACCTAGGAAGTTGGTTTCCCTGTAGTCTTTGAGGCTGAAGTCTTACTGTTATGGTACTAATGTGACTTGTGTTTACAGTAACTTTTATTCATATTTTATAATCTTTAGAATTGAGAATACAGGAGGAACATCTTTAACCAGAGCCTGAGAAAAGTGGTTTCCCCTTGTATATTACAGCTGGAGTGGATTTAATGTACAACAGTTATGCTGATAATCTATTTCAATGCATGATTATTTCACCCAGTAACTTTTATTCATATTATACCACCTTTACACTGAGAATTTAAAGATTTAAAGTAGAGGAATGATGCTGATAATCTATATCTGCATGATCATTTCACTCAGTAACTTTTATTCATCTTATATAATCTTTAGAACTGAGAATACAGGGGGAACATCTTTAACCAGAGCCTGAGAAAAGTGGTTTCCCCTTGTATATTACAGCTGGAGTGAATTTAATGTACAACAATGATGCTGATAATCTATTTCTGTGTATGATCATTTCACTCAGTAACTTTTATTCATATTATACCAACTTTATACTGAGAATACAAATGGAACAGCATTCTCAGTTTGATAGTCGATTACAGCTATTAAAGATTTAATGCACTATTATATTAATTTGTTTTTATTTTTATTTTACTCCAACTACTTCTTCCATTAACATTGTTTTATACAGAGACTAAACAGTAGAACAGATTTACCCAGTGCCCCTAAAAACAGGAAGTTCCAGTAAAAACTGGCAATTAGGATCAGTTTAATATACTATAATGCTTCAGTTGTAGTTAAACACGTTTTAAAAGTATAAAATGTGTTGTTAGCAGATGTTTTAATGCTCAAACACTACGTGGGTTATCTTGCTAATGCTAGCTTTGGCTCCGTTTTCAACTACTCTGAGTAACAGAAGTGAGATTTATTGCGCCGTTTCTGATTTAATTACCGTACATGCAGACACATTTTGTTGTTCAGACTTAAGTGATTTTTAAGGTGCATTTATGTCCCATATCCTCATCAGTCTCGCTAAGTTCTGTAGGTTAAATAGATTTGAAACATTTGTTGCTGAAAGAAATATACTGCGTTAAGTTACACAGCACAGTAATTAGTCTGTGTTATCATTGTTAGACTACGTATCCCAGTGCACCTAGGAAGTTGGTTTCCCTGTAGTCTTTGAGGCTGAAGTCTTACTGTTATGGTACTAATGTGACTTGTGTTTACAGTAACTTTTATTCATATTTTATAATCTTTAGAATTGAGAATACAGGGGGAACATCTTTAACCAGAGCCTGAGAAAAGTGGTTTCCCCTTGTATATTACAGCTGGAGTGGATTTAATGTACAACAATGATGCTGATAATCTATTTCTGTGCATAATCAATACACTCAGTAACTTTTATTTGTATTATACCAACTTTAGAACTGAGAATACAGGGGGAACATCTTTAACCAGAGCCTGAGAAAAGTGGTTTCCCCTTGTATATTACAGCTGGAGTGGATTTAATGTACAACAGTGATGCTG